ATACAATTACATTACCGATGATACTAGATATAAAGATAATATTTTTCATATGATTATGAAACAGACCCTTTACACGTCAATACATAATGGGGAGAAAACAAAAGCAAATACAATTCACTGGTTTTGGTTTTACATACTATGCAGAATTAACTTGTAAAAATCTAGAAACCACAAACTGAAGCTGATAAACCTGTCGACTTAATTATGAATAGCAACAGCACCAAGATGACCGCGAATTAAATTCCGCTTGCTGAATATCGTGCAATTGCTTGGTTCATGACAGAACCCATTTCCTACAGATTGGTGTAATCCGAATACCGTCATATACCATTCCTCATCCTTCAGGAGACCTCGTCGAATACAAGGGAGCATTTTACTACATAACTTTTAATATGTTTTCGAAGGTAGAAAAAAACTCATCTAAAAAGCGATGTATTTTGTGTGAAAAAAAAAAATTAGAATTGTACGCATTTCAAATTTTGAAAAAAAACTACACGAGAGTTTTAAATACAGTGAAGGTCAAATGTCAAAAGAATCTGCACCAATCAGACTTGTCAAAGTTGCGGTCTTGTTGCATCACCTGAGCTTAAATCATTGTTTTCTTTTTGTAAGAATACCACCCAAACATTGCAGCTTATTTCCAGAGCATCTTACGCACCATTTTATGATCTTTATCTCAAGACATTTTAGAAGGAACAATGAAGTTCGATTGAAAAGTTATACACTTACTTCAGATTTTAGTCTATAGAAACTGTCAGATAATCACGCATGATAAACTTTAATTTGAAAAATACATTTCATTTATTTTTTTTTCTAAAAGTGTACAGATACAGCTTACATTTACGAGGCGAAGAATGTAAATAATTGGAAGAAATAACTTTTGGTGTTGCTTATATAAATAATAGAAATAAAAGTTTCTCGTAGAGATCAGTGAATTCATGAGAGATCTAGAGAAAAAAGTAGTTTTATTATGTTGTGTTTAAACAATATTATCAATGCATATATAATTGTAATATATAATTGTAATATATATTGTATACATATGAGAATGGAAAAAGTGTATATTGCTATCATTGACATTTTTAAGAATTGAATGATTATTTCTAGACTTCGGTCATCGGTCGTAAAAAGCCTCTATCTGCATTGTTATATGACCTACGACATCCAAAAAATAAATAAAGAAATAAATTTACTCCTGATATTTATGTTTTCTAATTTTCCTTCGTTATGAATGTTAATATTAATTTTTATTTAAATTTAGCGGCTTTCAGAACTTGTTAAAGTCTGGACTGATCGAAGAGATGTTAAACACGGGATAATTTATATAACGCAATATGTATGCTTTATCAATAAGAATAAAAAAAAAAACTTATGCCATAAATTTAATCGAATTGATAAAAAGAAAGAAATCTTCAACCGATAAAAATGTTTTCATTTTGCTTTTATGACTACGTTATAAAACGAGGGATGTAGCATTGTATCGGCATCAACAATCAACAACATGTATAGGTTTTTTTTCGGGAGGGGGCAATACTTCTGGTATAGTATAATATAAATAGTATAGTATAGAGGTGATCGTTAAGGGGGATAGGGGCTATTATTTTACACCAGATACGAGAACCTGGTCTTCTTTTACTCCAGTCTAGCCCTCATTTACTGCAATCGTTTCCAGACTCTTAAATACATTGAAGTGGTAAAAAATTCCGTTCGAATGGAACGTTTTCAGGTATCTTATGCACATAAATTGCCATGTGATGACACACTCATTTCTTAAAAAAGGTAGAAAACGGTAAAGTTGTTTATTTGAATACCTGTGGAACAGGTTTTCCATAGATATAATAGACAATAAGATTGGTCAACGGGCTAAATAAATACACAGTAAACACGTATTTGAATGGCACTCGTGTTGTAGTAACTCCATTAGACATGATAAGTTCAGGAATATGAACATATTCGTTGCAATTCGTGTTTTACAGAAGCGGGGAGTTTCTTGCTCTCTCTTCTAATTTTGAAAAGCTCTATTTAGTGCATCTCATTTTGCTAGTCACAAAGAGTGGGGTATCCTATAGCACTACCACGAATATTTCTTTGAAGTTTTGAAAGAAATGGACGTGTCATTAAGTAACAATTGACGTCCGAAAAAATGTACTACAACATAAGACAATCTCAATGGTAAACTGTAAGAAATTGACATGTATACATCTATTAATCGCGGACAAACAAACAAACGGGGAGTTTTTAGACCGAATAATTATTTGCGAGGGCTTATAATGGAGAATTCAACTACTATGTATGGTTCAAAAGTAGCCAAATATGATTCAAGTTTTGAGCAGGAAAAACCGAATAAAGAATTATGTCATAAGCATAAACTTTGTCGATGCATAAGATTAAGTTTTGCATTTAATATTGAAAAACCTTATCCACTGGCCAGTAAGACTTGTTGTCCTTAAAGACTGTTGGTGTAATATCCGAAGTCATCGAAATGATCTCTAACCAAGAGAAAAATGGCCGGAAAAATTCATATATATATCAGATAAACCGTTACATAATCGTTCTATAATGCTCCTGTTGGAGCTAGAGTCATGCACATGACATGCAATTAAATTATTTTAGATGAAATTAGGTTATGCTTGTGCGGTTTTTTGGCAATAGCGTTATCTGGTACTCAGTGTTAGACTGTACAAGACGAATATCTGACTGTCACGGCATGTCTGCATTTCGCTTTTTTTGAATATTAATTTCCACCGTTATACGCCATACTGTGATAATCCTACTGCAGCGAATTTCGTCCAATTTTCTTCCAAGATTGATGCGGTTTCTTGTAAATTAAGTACACCCAAGATGGTCAAATAATGATTTCTTTTCCCGTCGAAAAAATGCAATCAGTTCTTCGGGATGAAAGATAGAATTGTTATATTTGCTGCTCTTTGGAATACTATTTCTGTAATAACTCTATTCAATTTTAATTCAAAAGCGCTTCGTTTCCCATTTTTGCTCATGTCCCCCGAGTGAAAGAAAATTGATACAGGGTTACCAGTTATTATACACATATTAAGCCTTGCGTGCCAATTGAACAAAATTTATTCATCCGCGGCAACTCTGGGACTACATTCGCGTGTTAAGATACAGACGATCAGCTATGGCGGACGACAGCTGCCCAATATTCCATTGGTCTCGACAAAGTCGTTCGTCTCCCAATTTATTTTTGTCATTTTCTATGACTTTTTCCAGCTTTCCATCGGAAGAAAATGAAAAACCTAATGCGATGTTACGCCTAGCACCTTTTTATTTGTCGACTTCTTCCGATGAAATTTTTCACAATATTCCCGAATATTATACCCATCTTTTGTCACGATAACTTATCCAAAGGATTTCTGAGGATCGCTGATTAATTAGAGTAGTTTCTGTACTCAAACACCTCGAGTAATCAACACACACAATTTAACAAAATTATGTTGTAACTCAATTAAGCCTCACTATGTGTCAATAACGTTTACGTAACATCAAGAACAGTTTATTTACGGATGTCACTTTTCCATTGTAGGGTACAAAACGTTTCCTGAACTTATAATAATTGTGAACAACCAGGTATGCACACATATTAATTAATTATTACACACTGGATTTATTCTGGATTTCTTTTCCTTTTGTCATTGTTTAAAGCTGAAAAATCATTTTTAATTCTAGATAATGTCTCAGATATTAACGATTTCTTTGAAATTATTATTTAAAAAAATGTGTCGAAAATGAAAAGGTCTTACAGTCATAGAAAATTATCGTAGTAAATGTTAAAAGAAAATTTTATTAATTTTTCTATTATGATTATGCAAGATGTTTATTTATAGTCAATAAGATCAGTATCTTTGTAGAGAGCAGAACTACATGTATTAGTGGTGCAATATCAAATAGTATTTTCATTTTTGTTTACTTGACTTCTACAACATTTCATTACAAGCAGAAGTCCTTATTGATTTTTCTAGAGATGTATTTTAGAGAAAATGAGTTTCATGTACTTTTTATAAATAAAATAAATTTCTGTAAAAAATATGTTGATCGATAAAGTTACGTTTTTATGACTATTCTGTGAGCTTAAAAATATACGAAAGGGTTAGACAAAATTTATTGTGCTTAGGTATGAAAACGCCCTGGGAAAAATTTCTTAAAACTTGTGAATTTATTATTTTAAAAAATCAGTATAAATTATATTTTAATCCCTGGCCAGTATTTAAAGGTTGATATGCTTGTTAAAAGTAATGCTCAATAATATGAGAACATAAGCTGTAGGTGTGTGGAGGACCCTTAAGTTTAAGATCTTTCATGATCCCTGGGCAAGATCATCAATACAAAGCATACTTGTGATGTATAATTCAATCAGAAAATATGAAGACATTTTTGATAAAGAGTTTCAAAAATCTAAAAAATGTCTAGTTATTAGTCTTTGATTCCCAAATTGTTGAGCCACTAATTTTACTTTGACATAAAATTTCAAAGACCAAGAACTACAATTATTCCTTGGTCTTTACTACGCATTCCCTTCATTCAAAAATTACTTCTTGTAATGCTGGAAAAAATGAATGATTATCCGAATTCTAAATACACTTTCCAGTCACTGCCATAGAATATGACTATTTCTCGTATTTTGTAATATTTTATTTAGATACATATTTATTTCATATTGTTACGTATTTTATATGGCAATAAACATAAAAGGACAACAAAATATGCAATAAATTTCAACAATAAACGTTACGAAATATTTAGTACGTTTAATATCATTTATAGACATATACAATATTTTACTATAAATAAAAACACTAGTTTTTCAACAAAATAAATTACAAGGCGTTTTGTTAGATATTGAACAATATGATGGATTTACATTATGTTGATACTCCATGGATATGTATAAACTTAACAATCATGATAGCAAGTAATTTTATTATGAAATAACAATTTATGAAACTTGGAACATATTTATCTATTTTATTTTAACTTGCTATTTGAAATAACTTAAACTATAACAAATTAGTAATAACATGAACATTAATTATAGGTTAAATTTTTTTTTATTTATATATACCTGGTTTTTTAAAAAGTTTAAAAAACATATGAATAATTTCAAGAATTGCGCTTGCTAAATAAAACGTGTTTTGATATTTATTTCCTGTAATTGAATTGCTTTCCATACGTCACTTCTACTTAAGTATGCTGTACAAATATATAAAAGCTGATTTCATATCATGATGAACCAATGGCAAATCATACATTTACATGTTGGAATAGAAATAAACATCAATAAATGATCTTACCAAATTGACTTTATATGAGTGTGAACACATATTTATTCAATAAAACGTATAAGAAGCACATAAACAACAACTGACCCATCCATCATGTAATTGTGACTTTGGAAAGGTGAGACATATTATCAGAAATAATTCCACGTTTTTGATGACAAGAGTACATATCATCCGCTTGGAGTGACCAGTCCTTTGGATCGCCATATGCAGTGTGGGATGATGGGTATTGGTACCATGGTGATGTTTTAACAACGGGAACAGGTATTCCGCCTGTCATGGGCTGTTTGTCGTACATTCTGTAAAAAAAGGTGAAACCATTTAACTACTGTCAAGAGAACTACACATGATATAAAAAATCTCAATGTTTCCTTAATATTTTCTAGAAAATTGGGTTTCATCAAACACGAACCTAGGAGGTGTTCGATTTGAGATTGCTGAATGTATCACTGAGGCGGGGGTGGCGCCGGTGACGGGACTACTAGTAGAAAGCATGCCACTGTCATTCTTATTTACACAGTTCACTTTCGGACTCTCCACGGGGTCTGATCTAGGTGTAGAAATAGGGCTGGGGTGAACATTCTGGTTTGACTTTGTACAGTGCCATGAGGCTGTATTGTTTATTACGTTTACCCGCGTGGAGTTATTGTTGTATATATTCACAGGGGGACTTCCCATATGGTCCGAGTTCCTGGAGGATTGAAGAGACCTTGGACTAGCAGCGTTTTTGATCACTGAACTGTGATGTAATGGCATCGTTGCACTCATTCCCTGATTTGGTCCAATATCAGATGGAGAACATATCACTTTAGTTTCTTTAAACAAGGATGACGTCGTCGATAGACATGGATTATGCCCTACAATTCCGTCCACTCCATTATACATGGCTGACGATCTTAAATCGACAGGTTCAAGTGACCCATTTAGTCTTGTAGGGAGTCTCTCGTTGCCATACTCGTATGCATATTTTCTATAATCGTTGTCATAGCGACCGACATCTTCACCGTAATGGACCTTTTTGGCAATGTCCAAGTCATAAGAATTGAATCCGTATTTTGTCACATCGTAACCGAACTTTGTTGGCTGAGCCATCAAGTCTGAATAACCATTGCTCGGATAAGTTAGAGTATGCTGGTATTGTCTATGAGGATCTAAATAATATCCATTAGTGTAGGCGTGCTTTTCTGTGTCCGCCAGACGATAACTATCCGCTGTGGAATATACAGATCCAGGAAAACTAGCGTAACCTCGATAAATGTCGGGTTCGATTGGTGACGGATACGGGTATAAGATGTCGGGTTTGAAGTCTGCACCTTCGTATCCATTGTATTGTGGGTAGCCCGCATATCCATTTAGCACCGGTTCACGAGCACATTTTCGCTTTCGACCCGGACTTTGTATGTAGTTTTCACGCACACAATTTTTTTGCTTTTTGTTTTTCACATTCTTCATTTTTGAAGCGATTTCGTCATTTGGAAAGTCAAAACCTGAGCAAATATCTAAGTCTAGTAATGGATACGGCAATTTAAACTCGTTTCCTCTCTTGTGAAAAAGATCAGCTCCTTCATCGTCCCTATAAAGTGCCACAACAAAACAATAATCTCTTGTCTTGATACAAAGTAAATCAAATATAATAGATTATTTTATGCCAATTTTTCAATTTTCAGAGTTGGAGGTAAACTTACGTTAGTTGTCTATGAGTGCAAATCACGAAATCAGGTTTGCTGTTTTTGTAGATGACTTTGCAGCTAGACTGAAGCCATAGCCATCTAAACTCTTTTGTACACCAACGGTACGCAATTAAACCAGAACTACCAGTTTTAATCACTGGAAAGAAAGATAGATATAAGGATACATTTGAAATTTATACCATATATTTTATACTGGTATGTTGTAAACAGAATTAACATCATGCATGAACAAAATTTAAAATCAGTTATAAATTGTTAAACAGTTTATATGTACTGCACTGTGTTTCGTTCAAGTGTACTAAGATTTATGAAGTAAGTGCAACTTAATTTGTCCATATGTGAAAAAGTCAATGCCTAAACTACAGTAAAAAATAACTCAGTCAATAATACATGTACCATATTTTTTATTTTCAAGATTAGCAACCTGGATAAAACTTAATTGTTATAACAATAAAATAATTATCCAAATCCCTCTTACATAATATAAAGACAAAGTCAATCACATGCTACTATTTATGGACCATGGATCAATTTTCCCCTTACAAGAGAAATGTGTGACAAAGGGTGTCAGTCCTGTACTCTATACTGACTACTGGCGACAGCCTGGGAATCCCTTGTCTTCGTCGGGGGATACAGATACCAGTAAACAAAGACAAGGTGAAGCATGAAGTTCTACAATTAGCTGCCAGGTTGATTTTAAACAGCAACTGAGAGCAAAGGATATGTCAAATTGTCAAACGTCTGTCTTTCACGATATAGCATTTCAGTTTTATTTGAAATTTAATTCATTGTTTAGGATTATAATACGCTGGCAGTGATAAAAGGGGTATTTCATAGAAATTTTTTTAGTTGTAATTGCAGTGAAATAATCTTACAGTTCTAAAAACCAGGAAATTTGCTATATGAATTTAAGGTCTATTTTATATTTGAAACTCATGATATGGCTTAAAATAATACGTATTGAACATTTAAACATGTACTGGTAAACGACATCTGTAAATTTTTTTTGAAAAACTTACATTCTTGATGAGCAGAGGAGAAATAATTGAGGTCATCTGGATGAATAAGGTCATATCCAGATTTAGTGGCCAGTTCTCTATCTGAAAATCCAAACATGGCTTTTCCTCTGTAAATAAAAACAAAAACATGTATTCACTTGTAAATGGATTTTTTCTCTGAAATATTGTCATCATGTCTTTTTTATATTAAAAAAAAGACGACTAATGTATTCTTGAGGACTTTGATAGTCCTAACATAATTCAGAGCTGGGATCATGCGCCAAGTGCTTAGAAGGAGTAAATTCCCTTGAAGACCAAAGAAAAAAAATAAATACAAAAATAAAGAGAAAATTTAAAAAAGATCAATGCAAACCTTTCTTTAATTTTCCCCAAATGTTGTTGTTTTTTTTTTTTTTTTTATTTTACAATTTGTCATTAGTGGGTAAAGTAAAATGCATGAAGGTCATTTTATCATCTGCAAGAAACAGATGTACATAATTTTTTACCCAAATTTTAGGTAAAAGATATGTGACGCGTCAAAGGGGATGCTGAATCCTCCTAGGCATCTGGCCCAAAATCTTTACGAAATTCAGTTGGTAGATGTTTTATTACTATGTTGAAAAATTGTATTACTAGTATTTATATTTTGTAATCGATTGCTTTTAGTTATCTTCATTTACTATACTTAGTAGATCCTTGTCTTCATCTTTTTTTTTTAGAGAGAGAAACATATTATAACACAATAGAATTTCTTAGTTACAGTTTAAAAATCTATATAAAGGTAGGAATAGAATACTCCCATCTTTCTTTTTCAGATTGTAGGTTGATTCCGAAAAAAAATATCATTGCATAAATAAACTAAAACGTTTGCTTCTAAATCAAGGTTCTTTTCAGAAAGATAAGACTTTTTAGTATTTAATTTTTTTCTTAAAATCGTTACCAAAGCTTTTAAAAAAAAAACTGTGGCCAAAAGTTTCTTTGTCCATTTTTCACATTAAAATAAAAAATCTGAACCTTAGAGTGACGTAATAGAAGTTTAAGATTAGTTTGTTTTACAACCATTTTTATTTTGGTATTTTTGTAGTTTCGAAATTCTTAATGGAGTGTGGGAGGATATTAATATGTAAAAAAAAAAGTATTAAAAGTACCCTGCCTTTCAAATTTTGACAATATGTAAACATGTTTAAATTAAGATATTGAGGTCAGAATATTTAATTGCTTGTCTCACGTCAGCTGGTGAAATCACCGTTTTATTAGGTTACAAATTAAGAATATATTACAACATATCAAAATTTCAACAAAGTTAAACAACAATAGAAGTCACAAAAATATACGAAATGGGATCTGTTTAAAATAATTTGATTTACAAGTGCATAGTTTTCCCAAATATAAACAAACATATCACCAACAAAATTTAGCTGTGTCATAGTAAAAATAGAGCGCTATGATCTTATGTTACTATAGATCGACCTTGAGGGCGTTACAAAAATCTTCATATTCACATAAGAGATCAAGGTTTGAAACTTAAGTAAAGGTTTTAGAAAGACATAATATAATAATATATGAGAAAAATTTCAAGTTTTCAAATAAAATAAAAAACATGCTATAGACTCCTTGTGATGAAAATATTATAAACAAATTAAAAAATAAAGATATTAAGAAGATTGAATGGAAACAATCACATCTATTTAATTTGAAGCATGTCATTTGCTGACCTACAGATTCAGCTAATATATTTTAATATCAAGGATCTGTTTGATAATTTTGGTAAAAAAAAATATCATCTATAGGCGAATTCCAAAAAGACTGAAACTTCTAGCTCAACTTAATTTGACTATGTTAAATGACATCGGCATTCCTGGATGAATAATGTACAAATATATCGTTATTGTAGAAAGTTGTTATCAATATTGTTATCAATATTAAGATTCTATATAACTCGTAATTATATTTATAAAAAAAAATTAGATCAGAATAAAATAAAATCGTTATGATTACCCGGTATGTTGATCAATTTATTTTTGAGCAACATTGAACCTCTCCATTGAGGAATTTTTATAACTATTAGGAATTAAGAAGTTTCTCATGAGTCGATTTTCACTCAAATTAAAAGGAAACCCTTATCCTCTATGTTGCATTTTATATATATTAAGACTAACTGGACTTATTAAAAGACGTTTATTTCAATAGGAATAATCTTAATTAAGTTAATTTCTGATAGATTTACTTGTTGTAAACAGTTATATACACCTCAAGGATAAAAAAAAGCTTTCCTAAAGGGGCGGGTCTATTGATTAACCCTGGAGTTCATAATTACTGTCTCTTTTTAATTTTATTTATTCCATGTGGAGTAAGTAACGAGAACTATAAAATATCCATGACAGCTTTTTTGTGCATGTCTCTACCCATATGGGTCCATTTTTGCTAAGCTTTTAATATTACTCAGAAAAATGTAAATAAACCCTAAACGGGACCTTCCACTAAAAACAACAATGTAAAAAAAGTTGAAGAAATTTATGTCTGCTTAATTGATTATTTTAATTATATCTTCGAACATTTGCTTCCCTTTTTCATTTAGTCGGTAGAGTGAAAAATTTTATTTTAAAGACAAACGTTTAATTTATTCAGCAAAACTAGAAAATTCTTTTAGACATTAAAGACCATTTAGAAATAATTTTCATTATTTGATTCAAATTTTTAATGCCTACGAAGCACTGCTATCAACAAGCAAAGGTGCCGCAATCTTGGAGGGTCAATGCATTTCAATGCACTCTGAACTTGACTCTGTATTATATTTTAGGTGTATTTTTTCATAAAAGTTTCATGCAATTTGTAACAGCAAAGTAACAATATTTATTTGTTTGAAGTTGTTAATTATTAACACCTAGTATTGAGTTTGTAATTTGTATCTTACAGCTCGTAAAGTATTCATTATTTAGTCACTACATATCTCTTGCGTGATTCTTTTTTTAATTTTGCAGAAAGTGTTTCATCACCAAGTTGGCTACAATTTCCAACACTTTACCAACACCTATCATGTTGAAAAAGACTAGACGAATTAGACAGCTACAAGTCAACTACAAAGTCGTGACAGAAAACAATAGCGCGTGAGAAAAAAACACAGGTCACGAAAATTTCAATGTCAGTTACGACCTTCTTTACTACGACGCGAAAGTTTTCATTCATAAAATGCTCGTGTAACATTCCCGTGATCAAATTGCCAAAATGGACAGACAACAGGCGATAAATATCCCTAATTCATTCATAAAAATAACCCATCCTTCGTGTTTGTCGGACATGCTTGGACCCGTGAAAATTACTATATAATGCGGACAAGATACAAACATGCAATGTTATATCGCTTGAACGAATCTTGACAGTGTATCCCATACGTTCGATGTTTGTAGCCGAAAGTGGTTACACTTGTAGTATTTCGTCTTCATTTTCCCCGTCTTTGACTTTTTCTTTCATTGTTTGACGAGTATATCCGGTTTTCATTTCACTCTATAGAATTTTATTACAATTTGTATACACGATACATATCTATTATAATAGTGAAGATTAAAGTTTTCTAATGGCTGAGTTTCAATGCAATTATCTTCCCAGTAAACAGCCATTAATGTGAAAGTAACACTGTTTTTTAATATCAGATTTGAATGAATGTCTATTTAAAACATTTTGAATGTAATCCAAAATTTCTCAGCATTATCTTGGGTTCATAAAATCTTAAATCCGTTTAGCATAATTAACTTGTTCCATCGTTAAATCTGTAAAGTCATCATCACATAATGATAACAGATATCTGATATGGTCAAAGTTATAATAATTCACCATTTGAAGGATACGAGATGTCAAAGAAAAATAAATTAGAATGACAACCAATATAAAATACAGAAATTCAAAAAAGAATTTAAAGGATCGTGTTTGGAATTATGTCATCGAAAAGATATGATTAATGGCAAAGGTTACAGAAAGCAGCTTGCTAGTCTTTAAAACTGATATCTAAATCGCTGTTCCCTAGATTTAAATTTTGTAAACTACCCAACCTCTTTCCATATCAGCATTGAAAACTTCTGACCTCAAATTTGTAATATTTCTATAAAGTCTTCTTTTGTGGTATTTGGTTTAGAAATTGCACAATAGCACTGAAATTTTCATCTAATGAGTAATCTAATTTGTGCGGTTTGTGACCGTTGCTGTGTTCGAAAACAACCTTTTCTACTAGATAAGATGAATGGATTTTTCCAACAAGCACCTGTGCATGATTACACACATTCAAGGTACTTACTAGTCAAATAAAGATGCTCAAACCTTACCATATATTTTTACTCCAAAAGAAATACATCAGTATTAAAACAAAAAAGTATATAACACTTACCTATTGTCCATCGACATGGGAGAAAAGTCCATCTTATGTTTGGACTTAAAAGTGAGTTCTCGTGAAGGAATGTCCATGAGAGAGAGTGGACCGAAGGGACAGCACGTGGCAAATAAAGCCAGCTGTGGCTCTTCAGAACGTGCATTCTGTCCATGTAACATCCGTATCCATCCACTTATCTCTAAGGTCTATAGAAAAATTCAAACACACACTCTAAATGTTACATAAAATATTACAAGAAAGCTTATTTCAAATTTTGTTTTTCAATTGACATCAAATCTCAAAATTTGCATTTGAAAATAACATGTCACACAAAACAGGTATTGGAGATACACTGTATGTATATGAAATGCAAACACATTAATTGTTCTTAACATTGAAAGTGACAAAAACTTACAATGAATCCAGAGGTGTTGTCCAATAAACATCTAAACCTAACAGTGAACGATCTATGAAGGTGTCTAGAGTTTTCTAAAACAAAGAAGGAGAAAAATTAAACCAAGAGGTCTCTGTTTATATATATATATATATATATATATATATATATATATATATATATATATATATATATATATATATATATATATATATATATATATATATTTCATAATGTTTAAGTTTTCCATTTTTTGTTTATTCATTGCATGATAATTGTTGCATGCAAGCACTATATGTTTTGAATAAGATAAATATTAAACACCAATAATTAGATTTCAAAAGTAATGTTTAATTGTTGTGTTTGATACACTATAGAAACTAACCAGGCATCATGAGCTCGTGGAGGGACATGTTGGCTTTATCCTGGGGAAGAGCCGAGTTCCAGGAAAGCTGACGCTTGAATTCCTCCCTGTCCTCTGAATGGATGAGCTCCATAACACTTTGGTGGATGATGTCCGACTAAACGTGAAATGAATTTATATTGTACCAAAAAAATTATTTGCTAGCTATGAATTAATAGATGATCAGAGTGTAGAACATTTTAATTGATATTCAAATTTTATTATTATAAATATATTTCAATTTTACTTTTAAAAAATCGAATCATAAAATCAATTCTACATGTATAGTGAAAATAAAAAAAAAATTATAGTTTTTTCTTATGGGATAATCACATTTCTTTATCTTAACTTTTTCATTGTAAACTTACATATGGTGTTCACATTATTCAAAAATATGCCAATCAAGAAAAGAAAATTTTGACGAATTAAATGTCTCCTATAAGGTCAGTAAAAGAAATAACACAGGACGACTTTTCAGCAATATTAATGTTTGTGTTTCAAAACATCATTTTATATTTTTAAAAACCGATCCAAAATATCTGTTATTTAGATTTCGCTGATACAATGTACAATACAGGCCTTTTCTATAACAATATTACTTTTAATTTTTGCAATGACGATGCCAATGGCAATGATTTTAGTCTCATTAATGCACAAATATACATTGTAGAGAGGAGGGAAGAAAGTGACATCATATTCCACACTCGATTCTGAGGTCGCATTAGGAAAAATACTTCGCTCAAGGATCAAAGAAAAAGAAGGATTTAAATTTGCACGTTCATATCACCCAGTTGTAAATTTATGATTAGAAGATTTCCTTCGTTTTCAGCTCAATTTCCAGAGACTTAAAAGAGAATGGAACAAAGATGTTTATGACGATACAAAAACATTTAGGAAGATAATTACTGTCTTCAGAGGCCGTAGTTACATGACATTAAGTTAAATCATTTGGACGGTAAAAAGATATTACTTAAAGCGATTTTATCTGTTACTTCGAGGAGGATCGGAAAATTGAATTTTTGTTGGACAATGCCGTTAAATCGAGCATGAGCAAAAACAATTCAAAGAAGTTGTCACAAGATCGAGCTCAACATCTAATCGATAGTAAGTGCATTACAAACATACATTTATGGAATACACATGACGATTTTCTTTAATATGCCTAAGACTTATATAAAAACTTGTGCAATTATTATTTTGTTCTTTCATTTTCTATCATCAAAGAGGTAAATCCCATATATATTTAAATGTTTTTATGTACCTTAAACTTACTTGTTGGAAGAAATCCAACATAAAATAATTATAATCCCTATATTATATTCATGTGCATTCCTTTCCATTTTGGAGGGAGAAGAAACCTTATTTTGTTTCTCTGATATCTTAGTATGTCTGTATATTGCAAAGGAATAATTCATTTGATGTTTATAGTCTCTTCCTGCTACATGCTCCTTCTGTGTAAGTACATGTTATTATAAAAGTAAGCCTACCTGATGGAATCCCAGGTACTGTTCAACCGTTCTGGAGGCATAGAAAACCTCGCCATCACACGTGATAACTACCATGAAGCCATATAGCGCCTGTGGAAGGAAGGAAAAAGGTAGGTGATATTTTAAAATGACCCTTCTTGAAGTACATTTCCCTTTTATTAGGCATATTGTAATGAATTCAAATAACTATTTATTTGCAGACTTACATATTTGCACAATCAACTAAATATATTTGGAATATACTATTGTGTAAAATTAAAGTTTATTATCTAAGCTACCAAATTAACTGATTCTCACGATCCAAAAGTAAATATACATGTAACAACAGCAAAATAATTAAATTGTTTTCGATAGCTTTATTTTATCAATATCCTATATTGTATATTTAAAAATATCGTATAATAAAAAATCACTGCATAAAAAACTATAGTATAACTAACCAGGCCTAGACAACTTGTAAAAATTTATAAATATACATGTAACAATTAAATAATACCAAAAATTCTTCAGATAGATGTGCAAGTATTGTTTGAAATGCTTGTTTGACCGATATTCCAATAATGATAGAGTTTTTTACAGAACATGTAAAAGCAGCAGACTTTCTATCCTCATAAGGCCTACTCTACAAGCTGCTTAATACCTGTAAAATACTGTCTCCTTCAGAAAAGCCGGGTTCATGAAAGAGATGGGATCTTCCAATGATATGATGGCTATCCAAGTTGTATCGATCGGGTAACACTGCTACAACAAAAAAAAGTATTCAAATGAGATGATGATTTTATTTTATTTTTCAATAATAATTTCTTATGTCACATGAAGTAATTGAGCATGTATGCATTCGTTTAAATCAAACAAGTTTTATTGTATTATTTTTAATCATTTTGTTGGAGAGAAAAATCTTCCTAGTTTCGGTAAATTCTTTAACGAAGTTTATCTTGGCTTGTCTTTTTTAAAATAAATATTCTTCCCCTTTCATTGATGTTTATTTCAAAGGGGATTGGTATTAAGTATTAATTTGCAGTCACATTTTCAGGAATGCAACCCCTCAAATACCACCATATGAATATCAGTACATCAAAAATATTGGAGGAAAACTGATGCAGTGGATGAATATCAAGTAATTAAATACAATGTGATTCACCCAAACATCCAAAACCATATAAGGTTGTGCCATGGTCATTTACGACATTGTATTACCACTCCCCAAAGAAATACAGGGCGGATCAAATTTTACCAAGAGCGGATAAATCTTGTCTGAAATGAGGTGTAACAATTTAAAATGTTTATACCTGAGAAAATTTTAACAGAAAGTGGTTTGTCATAATGCAATTAGATCAGATTGGGGAACGAAGTTGATATCTGGACAGAATTCAGCTTGTTCTTATATCAAATTATGCGAAAGATAAAAATGGTAGCTGACATTATATCTACTGTGACAAACATGGTTTTGTTTGCTTCCTTAAACAGAGCAGCCGGGCCAAGAAATGGAAGGCCGTAGTTTCGCGCAAAGATAGACGCTTGTGTTTGTTCATTTAGACGGAAAATGCCCATAACCTCTGCTACAACCAGCGAGAAATCTTGAGAACTAATTATCCACAATTTTTTCAGAGTGTTGTTAAAGGTCAAGAATGAACGAGAGATACTCATATCTAGTTTCCATGGCTTTAGGTTTATTTGTAAAGTTGGAGGTTATAGAGATTATGCATTTTGTAGAAGGAAAGCTACTACAATGCATTATTGTTTGGTATAGAGAATATCGAGAGATATTATCTCTTGATATAAGATGTTCATCAGGTTTATATAGCATATTAAAGGATAAATGAAATAGTAAAGTGTAATCAGCTTTGAAATTCCAAGCATACATTACATGTATCTCTAAATTCATCATTTCTATACATGGAATAAAAAAACACATTAATTCTTTTCTTTTATATGCAGTATGTTATGGGGTTTAATCTTGTAATTTGTGGAACCAAGATTACAAGAACACTGTAATCCCGATTTGTTCATAAGGCAAAAATATTATATAAAATTCTTTAAAAATAAAATCGGAAATATAATGCTATGAACTATTTCACAGTCAACATAAGAAATGACCCTGGTAAATAAAAATGAAGATAATATAAAATATGTATTTATTTTCTTTTTATACATCTCAAAGTACTCTCTGATACTTTTACTAAATTGGAACACACTTTAAATGAATATTACTCCAATTGACTAAGAGAGTTCCAACACGCTAGCTTGATAAAAGTGATAACTATATCAAATAGCTTGAACTTTCTTACCACTGTTTGCGAGTCGTCATTATGACACATACATGCTGTTAACCCTTACAAATGCTATGGCAAATCATGATTTGTTGCAATCACGCAACTAGTTTCATTTTCCCGTTCACAACGTGTTACTATTGCACGCATAGTAATTTCAACTCTCTATAACGTTACACAAAAACATTTTAGCGGAATTTGAACTGCTGCATTGAAACCTTTTCCTATGATTTTATGCATGATAAATAAAATAATTATAGAAATTTGAAAAAAAATACTTTCTCTTAGTCATACGCCAAAAATACGCAATTCTATTGTATATAAAAAGGATAATTTGTCTTCAGCAAGGAACCTAGGAAAATTATATGCACTTTAATAGTACATGCATTTTAACCTTCTGCATCTCTCTGTTGCATTAAAAAATTACGTCACTTTATATCTTATTAAAAAAAGACAACTGAGATAGGGTAGAAGCAATGAATCTAATTAAACAACAATATAGAAAAAAAAAACAAATTATCGCATACATTATTCAGAAAAATTCTCAAAATGAAAAAAGAAGACAAGAAAATGTTCAAAGTAGAGGACTGCCGTCTTTGGTCGTTTCATCTACAACTTAATTACTTAATCAAAGACGAAAAACTAAGACAGCGAAATTATAGCAAGAAGACAATTCAAGCTTAAATTAAGGCAAGGCCGGCAATTTTGTCGATGGATTTAAAATCGGCTAGTAATAGAAAACCAAGATTGATGCTCGGCCGTCGTAATTATGCAATAAATCACAGACAAATTTCCGCGCCATTTAGTTATGACGGCTTTCGCCTTTTTTAATGTTGACTCTTTCGGTTCAAATTCATTTTCTACAATGAAAAAAGACACTGTGCCGATGTGTTTGTGTTCCTCTCTCAAAGTCTGACGTTCTTTTCTAATTTAATTTTGTTCTTGTTTTTCCCTTTTTGGGATCTCTGAATTTGTTTGTGATATGTATAGGGTACAAGCAAAACAGTCGAAAATCTTGTTCCTGTTTTAAAAATTGAATTTTATCGTGTGGTTGACTGCCGTATATGCATATGCTTGCACAACATTAATTGCAAATAATTTTTTTGATAAACAAAAAATTTTCTTTGTTTAGAGTTGTAACATAAGAGATAAGAAACTGAATTAGTTAGTTTTTCTTATGGCTTCATATGTCCTTTGCAACCACTGTGTCCTGTCAAAAGAAAGCCTCTGTATGTAATATAGTGATTTTAGATAATATCGAAATCAGATATCTCACAGTTATTTCGTGTCCAGTCAGCAACTTTCTTGGCATAAACATATCAAAACACCAAACACCATTCGTAAAAAAGACGTGATTACAGATCATTAAAACCAGCTTGTCACATGCTTATACTTTCTGTATCAATTTTTTAAAGGTGTATGAGAAATGTCATTATCAAAGATGCCTAATCAGTTTATATAATAGACATCAAAATGACAGATTTGAAGCTTTAAATCGTGAAACATTGTGTAATTATTTCATAGATAGTCATGAAGATGACTTAATACAAATGCCCTACATGTAGTTCATGCAATTTGCCTGACTAAGTCTGGTTGATGAGAATAAATTAGTTTTGATTTACCATTACACCAGCGACTTCTTTCATTTAATGTACAAAATTACGTAACTTTCTGGTAAGAACTTTAGACAAAAAATAATTAAAAAACCAGAAAGATTCTCCCAGATAATTAAACTAGGTAGTTTTCGGTAGTTGTTTTTCAAAGTACATTAAGATTTTTGTTATAAACAGTTTACATAAGAAAAAAAATAAATAGCATGTACACAGAAGGAAGTACATGAGGGAATAATGAAAATGTGTTATTAAAGATATTTAATAAACCTCATTACTTCCGTGAAACAAAACAAAAAAATTCAACAACAAAACAGCAAGAGGAAAAATCGTTATGATGAACTCCGACGTTCACGATCGATTAGATAATTAGCTTAGGATTTGTTAAATTTTCAGATGACCTACCAAGCAGAAAAATATGGCAATGAAGTCAAAATTTTTATGAGAGGTGGTGTATGGAAGTTCTGTTCGTCTCCACAAGATAAACATCTAATGTCAATAGTGTCTTTTGTGTTTGCTCTGATTTAGTAAACGCTAAACGTGCTCTAACTTTGACTAATTCTATTTTCATCATCCCAGTGTCGACTTCAAAGTCAGCCATCTTTAAGTCCCGGATGTTATGCAACATTTCATGGCGGTTTGGCAAATACAATTAATTCAACGACTCTAGAGTAAAAAAAAAGTTTGATATTATGGTTTTGATTAGACAATCAGTAAAACCTCTCTATGGACAAAATGCATAATGTTTTCTTTTTATTTTATGATGTGGTTTACTGAACTTATTAGAGGAAACAGCTAGCAGGTACCAAAAAATAAAAACTTATCTTAAAAATTAATTTCTGAATCATAAATTTTTAAACAATCTACATATTATATTTCTTCTTTAAAGATTTAAGAAAATAAGAGTTATAATTAAAATAACCCAAAATTTAAGTTTATTAATTGTAACAAAGGAGAAATGTAAAATCTAATTCCCTTTCGGGCATATTTACAGTTTAGAACTGGGACATGTACTTGCTTCCATCGATGCACAGACAACCGAGTCAAACATCTGTGGATAGTGTTTTGTGGGATATTTTCCGATTCCATTCGCTGAATTAGCACTCGTGCCAATTTCTACCAATTTCCTATAGCCACTTTAATAGAATTATCCCGAAATCAATTGCATCTTGCAATTGTAATGAAAAAGCAACGTAATTAATGTCAAACAGAGAATAAAAATGTACCATTAAAAGACAGGCTTTTCAACAAGAGGCCGAAACTTACACTTGAAAGGGAATTGTACATCACAGCCAAAACATCAATTATGCATAAACATGGCTTTTTATGTGTGTATATGTGGCTATTATCTTGATAAAAAAGAGAACAGTGTTGTAATCATTTGCTTTATTTATTTTAGGTTTTTAGCTTCAATAATTAATTGTAAAGATGGGGAAGGTTGATATATGATGCAGTTTAGGTGGAAGCGATCTACATTCCACCATATAGAATCAGTTCTAGTTCTAACTATTAACTTCAGAATATAATCCATAATAAGACACACTATGATGATTTGTTTTCATAAATGAGAGTGTTTTTTGGTAAGGACAAGTCCCGTTTCTTGAGAAATAGTGTGATCCATATAAATAAAAAGACTGGTATTGGACCTAAATGTTGTAAAACCTTTAGAAAGACCAAAGCATTTAAACACTACGCCACAGGAGTAAAATGATGTCAAATCAGAGTCTACCTATTTTGTTCGAAGCAAAGGTAACAGGAAATAATCTTTTAAAAGTATACACTGTTTAGCTCTATTAACTGATTGACATTTTTTAATTTTTTTTCAGAAACATTTCGTTACAATTAAACTTTATATTTCATT